GGCCTTGAACGCACAGAGATCCACCTGCCTCTGCCTCCCAAGTGCTGGGATTAAAGGCATGTGCAACCACGCCTGGCTCCAGATAAATATTTACTGTCAAAGTGAAGAGATATGCATCTTGAAGAGGTTCTAATGCCATTGGGCTTTTTCTGTATGATTTTAAAAAACATGTTGCGCCTATCACTTGAGTCTCAGCATGCTGTTGTACTTTCTCCAGGTGGTAGTGGATAGAGAAACAAATTGCCCATTTCCTTTGTGAACTCTCTAAGAAGAATGCAAGCTTTAGTCCCTCAGGGGCAGGGTGAGTCTACTCACAGCTTGTTCCTATAAAAGAGATGGGGTGAAGACGGAGTACAGACACCCAGACCTAAGAAACAACAGATTTCAGGCAAGCCATCTTTGGCTTGCTACTGTCACTCCTAAGACTGATGGAAGGAAGGGACAAGATACCATTTGACCTAGCCCACAATTAGGTGATGAGAAAACTCATCCACATCTGTTTTCCACTGATATTTTCTCATTTTCAGGTTAATTTCTCCAGGCCTGTGATTTTCTCCTACTCCTCAACTTGAATTTTATTTTTATTTAGTTATTTATTTTTAATATTTTATTTATTATTATTTTTATGTGTATTCATGAATTGCCTGCATGTAGGTAAGTGCACCTGTGTCATGCAATGCCTGTGGAGGTCAGAAGAGGCTGTTGGATCCCCTGGGACTGGAGTTACAGACAGTTGTTAGCTGCCATATGGGTGCTGGGATTCGAACCTGAGTCTTCTGCAAGAACCAGTGTTCTTAACCACTGAGCCATCTCTCCAGCCCCTACTTTTTATTTTTTTAAATTATTTTTATTTTATGTGTGAGTGTATTGCTTGCATGTGTATAAGTGCACCTGTGTCATGCAATGCCTGAGGAGGTCAGAAGAGGGTGCCGGATCCCCTGGAACTGGAGTTACAGACGGTTGTTAGCCACCATGTGGGTGCTGGGAATTGAACCCAGGTCCTCTGAAAGAGCAGTCAGTGCTCTTAACCACTGAGCCATCTCTCCAGCCCCTCAACCTGAATTTTAAAAAGTAAGGTGTAAGCTGGACACGGCAGTTCATATCTGGCAGGAGGACCATGAGTTTGAGGCCAGCTTGGACTCCATAGTGAAACCCGGAGGTTAGGTTTGTCAAAGAGTAAGAATATTTAATCTAACAGACAATCTAAACCTAGTCAGGATAATATTAATTAAAGTAGGGCAGGAGGCCTTATTTCCTTAGTGCTATTTCCAGCAGGGTGGATAAGGGCTATATTTAGAATAACTATTAGTAATAACAGTCCTTGTCTTACAATGTCAAAGGTTGTTTTTTCACAACCTCGAAAAGATCTAAAGGAATTAACTTTGGTGATAACATTCCAGTACTCTCTGGAATGCTAATGGATATTTTTGGCAAAAGACAAAGTGGAAGAAAATTCACCAGAACACTCAAAACCTCATCTATCGATTAAATAACTGAATGAGATCACCAACATCTAGTTCAGGGTCCTTATTTTGTGCATGATATAGTCTTACAACTTTTCAGAATTCTGTAATTGTAAGACTCTCACGCTGTCCTGAAATACCGCTTTTGTTTTTTGTTTTTTTGAGACAGGGTCTCCCTATAGCCCCAAATGGCCTGGAACTTGGTATGTAGACCAGGCTGGCCTTGATCTCACAGAGATCCACCTGCCTCTGCCTCTGCCTGGTTCTGGGATTAAAGGCATGTGCCAACATGCCTAGCTTCTGAAATACTTTAAAAATGTCTTGGGCTGGAGAGATGGTTCAGCAGGTAAGAGCACTTACTGCTCTTGCAGAGGACCCATTCTTGGTTCCTAGCACCAATATCAGGGAGCTCACATTCAACTGTAACTCCAGTTCCAGGGGATCTAACACTGTCTGGTCTGCTCAGGCACCTGCAAGCATGTGCTGTCCATAAACTCATGTAGACACATGTACATATATGTAAATAAGTAAACAAGTAAGTAAATAAACAAATAATTTTTAATGTCCTGAAATCTTTCAAAACCAAATTTCAGAATCATGGTAAAGAACACGATTTGGCTTTCAGTTAATTCCAAGTCAGCATTCTGTCAGTATATTCCCTGTGTTCTATTCTGAAAGATTTGGTTTTCTATATAAAATGACCTGTTTTACATGACAATAAGATGTTCACTCAGTTCACTATGACATGTACTCCCTTTATTACTAAATAGTGGATTTTCAATAAATGTTTGTTCAAGTGAACTGCACTATATTCAATTTAAGATTGTTTAGTGAAGGGGCTTGAGATGATTCAGCGGTTAAGAGCACTGGCTGCTCTTGCAGCAGACCTGGGTTCAATTCCCAGAACCCACAGCCATACATAACTCCAGTTCGAGGGGATCCAACACCCTCTTCTGACCTCTGTGGGCACTGCACAACACAGGTGCATTTATATACCTGCAGGAAATACACTCATACACATAAAATAAAAATAATCACACACACACATGATTGGTGAAGAAAAAATAAATATTCTCTAAAAATAGTCTTCTAAGCTGGGTATGCTTGGGAAGCAGGGGCAGGCAGATTTCTGTGAGTTCGAGCCCAGACTGGTCTACATAGTGAGTTCCAGGCCAGTTAGGACTGTTACAAGGAGACCCTGTCTCAAAAAGACCAAAAGAAAAAAAAAGAAGAACACAACTGAAGAGTCTTCTCCCTCTCCACTCCTAATGCATCAGGACTGTTCTACTGTGCCCCCATTTGCATGATTCTTTCTAAAAACACCCATTTAACTAACTTAGAAGCAAAGAGTTACATCTGTTCTTTCCATGTGAGTTGGCCCTTCTTAGACCTTATTATGTGACAGAGGTAAGGTGGCATCTCTGTTGCGGTGCTTTATTTTAGCACTGATTTCATTGGGATGAAAACAGGACCCAGCAATCTTTGACTTTTAGAAATACTGTAAAATTTTAAATAATACATTGACAATATTTTTAAAGTTCTTCAAAATAGAATAATGATTATATCTTATTTGGTTTTTTTTGAGATGGGGCTCACCAAGTAGGATAGCCTGGAACTCAAGATTCTCCTGTCTCAACCTCTTTTAGTGCTAGAATTACACATGTGAGTCACTGAATTCATGAATACATTTTTATGTAGTTCTAAAGTTACCTTTTATATGTATAGTGGGAGTTGAAGTTTGAACAAATGTTTGAAATGTTGAGCTTTCCAGAATATCATTGTGTAGCCCAGGCTGCCCTTCGATTTACTTAGTAGCCCAGGCAAGACTTGGATTTGCAATCTTCTTGCCTTAGCCTCCTCTGAGCCAGAGTGCTCAGATTACAGGCTTGTGCCACCACACCTAGGTTGTTTTTGGATTTAAATACTGGCTATCAATTTAATACCACTTCAAATCTCTAGTTAATTCTGATTCTTACTCTCAGAAGAACAACTGTTCATCATCGGAAACGAATTAAAAAACAAACAGAAAACAGAGGTTGTATCAGGTGGCATAGGCCTGTAATCCCAGCTGCTTGAGGGGTTGAGGCAGGAGGACTGCAAGGCCTGCCTGGGTACAGAGTGAATTCCAGGTAAGCCTGGGCAACTCAGAAAGACCCTGTCTCAAAATAAAAGCAGTAGGCTAAAGATACAAGTGCTTGCCCTGCATGAGTGAGGCCCTAGGTTCAATCCCCAGTAAACACCCAAACCCACAAAACAGGGAAACTTTCGTAGTCATAATTTTTAAATGCCCCAGTATATGACCCATTTCTGAAAATCATAAGAATAGGTGCCTCCCTCACTTGGAAAGGTTCAGAGGTTCAGTTTGATTCCTGGGTACAATTTCCAGCCATGGTTTGGCTTCTCACTGACTGAGCATCCACAGATGCACTGGTCAGACTTCCAATGGGGTGATTTCTGCCATCTGTAACAATGCCAACTTCCATAGGAATGCACATTGCCAAATATTATTATCTTTAAATGTGTGATTAAATAGGAAAAAAATAGAGTTTGTCCTTTCAACAAAATAGCTTAATGAAATTAACTCTTGTACCATAAGAATATACAGCATTTGGGGAGAAAATCATGAATCATAAAAAAGTGAGCTCAGTGAAAATGACACAGACTTCTCTTTGGAGCTTGTGTAGCGCTGACTGGAAACCCAGAACAAGCCAGGACTAAATGCATTGGGGGCTTTGTTGTTGTCAGTTTTGTTGTTGTGGTGTTACTATTTCCACTCACCAGCTCGAAGGGGTCGTGGAACTCCCCCAACAAAGATAGTTTTTCTGGGGTCCAAAGGCTGAGAACCATCCATTACAAAGTCACTGTCACTTAGGTTCCATGGTCGAATTTGCACCTGAAAAAAAGTTGTTTACTTGGTCCTTACTTCATTTCCATCAACCCCAAATGAGAATAAGATGACTAAAGACAAACCCAATGATTTGTGCATTTTACAACATCCAAGTCCCAAAGAAAATCCAGTTAATTCCTTAGTATGATCTGCAGTAAGTGCCTTCCAGTAGTCCTCTGGAGGAAGCCACTCCACACTCTAGACATGTATCAGGAAACTCTCAGAAACCACCTGTGTCATCTTAAAGGTAATCTTGAACAGATTCTGAATTTTTAATCCAATTCTTTTTAATGTCTCATGGACTGTTTAGAACCTGTCACAGCATACCATTTAGTTTTTAATGAACCCACCTAAAGGGAACAGAAACATTAGTAAGACTTTCTAAGAATTATCACTATTGCTTGGATTTTAAATTTTCATCACTCCCCCAAGATAAAATATTTACCTCTCAGTAATATGACATAATACAGATTAACACTCATCAAGTTAGCAAACAAAAGGATATTACACACTGACACTCGGGGAACATTGTCTAATTGGATGAGTAATCTCATTTTCCTACTCAAGGTTGGTTAAATAAAGGCAAGCTGAGAGAGAGAGAGAGAGAGAGAGAGAGAGAGAGAGAGAGAGAGAGAGAGAGAGAGAGAGAGAGGGGGGGCAACGAGACCCAACGAGAACACATGGGTGTGGTCACAGGACAACTTGCAGGAGTTGGTTCTTTCCTTCCACTTTATGGGTTCCAGGGATCAAATTCAGGCCATCAAGGTTAGTGACAAGCACCTTTAATCAATGAGCCCATAAAAATTTTGAAAATAGAAAAAGAAACTTTTGCAGCTTATTTTTTTTAAGATTTATAAAAATTTATTTATTAGAGTGCATGTGTATAGGCAAACATTCCATGGCATGAATGTGGAGGTCAGAGGACAATTTTGTGGAGTGGGGTCTCTCACTTTTAGGTGGGTTCCAGGGATTGAACTCAGTTGCCAGGTGCCAAGCACCTTTACCTACTTAGCTTGCCAGCCCATGTTTTTTTTCACTTGGACTCTAATTTCTTGCCCAAAGTTTATACTATTTTATCACACATTAAAAAATGAGGTATCTCATCAGCTTAACCTTAAAGCAAATTCTTTTTACTCATAATAGAATTACAAAGAAGAGCTTAAAACAAAAGATCAAAGCCAAAGCGGAAGGACCTCTGCCCTGAGAGGTGAGGCTGACATTGTCCGAAAACCAGCTGGCAGGTAAGCTGCCTTACTTTCTGTGAACCACCTGGGTGCAGGCAGGGGACATGTTGTCTGTCCTTAAGGAATAAATATGCCTGTCCTCTAGCCCTCCAAGATTAAGATATGAAACAAAACAGGTGCATTTTCATATCCTTAATAGCCATAGAGCTCTTTTTTTCCCATTTCAACACACGTGACAACAAATGCGGCACTGTCTTCGTGGCTTGGCTCAGCATACCCAACACTCCCACTTGAAAGGCAGTTCCCTGCCAGCTCCACTTCCACATGCCTCCAGCCTACTCAAAAACTGGCACCACTCAGTAGAAGCAATCTTCATATTCCTTGAAACTGCTACTAAGTTTACCTCAACCTAATTTTCTTTTTTTGCCTTTTATGACACTTGCCCTCATCAGTCAGCTAGAAACCACAAAAGCTTTAATTTCTCCCTTAGAGTCTGAGAACTTGGACCCATTAACTGTTCTGTTAACACTCAAGCATCTGCTCCACCTTTTCTTGCACAAAAATGAAAGCCCAGTTTCTTTCCTCTAAAACGTGGTCAGTTTAATGATCACTCCTTTGACATTTCCCACAAAGGCAGATTCACTTGTACCATAAAGCACCACTTTTAAATGCTTTCATGAGTGCCCAATCACTAATTTAAAATTATAGAAATAATAATAATGTAGGAACAAAAATTCTAATGTTACCTATTAAAGAAAGAAAAAAAGAAATATCCTTTCCCACAAAGAACGCTTTCTTATAGTCTTATTTCTAACAAAGCAGTTATGGCAGCTTCAGGCCCGGGGAAGTGAATCTAGCCAATGTTAACTGCACTTGGTCATGGGTCACTCTCTCCAACCACCCCCTTTCTGCTTCAAAGGGAGTCTGGCTACATTACCCAGGCTGGTCTTGAACTCCTGGACTCAAACAATTCTCTGTCCTCAACCTCCCATGTAGCTGAGACTATAGTTGTGCACACTGAACCCAGCTGGTCATGGATCACTTTGTTTGAAAAATGAAAATAATTCTTATGTAGTTTACATAGAGATCTGGATGTATTTCATCAAATGTACAGGAAACATAGCCTTCTGTAATGGCTATATGTTATGACTGCTCACAGGAACAGGGCAGACCTACAAGCCTCCTGCTGAGAGCTTGTGTCCTTGGTTTTCCTCCAGCACTCCCTCCCTCCACTCCTACTTCATCACACACAACCTATTCCTTTGTCATATTCTTGGCATTACAGTTTAAGTAAAAATACAGAAGAGGGCTAAGGACAGTGCTGATTAACCCTATTCATGAAACATGTACTTCCCAGCTGCTGCCAGGAAACAGCTGCTCAGAGCTGGCACCTCTGCAGAATTACAGAAATGTTGACATAGGCCAGCATCAGCATACTCTACACACCAAGCAAAGGAAAAGCTGTGGCACTGTACTAGGAATTTCCACTCTCACAATGGCCTCTCTTTGAAACACAAGCTACTTTCACACAGACTTCCTCCAAGAGGGAATGCTTCAAAAAGCACTTATCACAGAAAAATATGCAAGACAGTTTTTCCTTAGTTTCTTTTCTAAATTATGTATTACTATGGAGACTCTACTGAAGATCATGAAATCTACTTTTGGCTGAATTATGTGTCTTCTGAATCAGTAAAGCTTGGTGGTATAAATATACTAATTTATGCCACATAGTGACTTTTAATATTAGTGTTCAAGAAATCCAAAAGAGTTCAACACTAATAAAATCAACAGCTTTTAGTGAAAGCATTAATCTTCCTCTTGGAGGTTTCCCAAGGTGTGTTCTATGGAATGCAAGTCTCTAGGGTTGGTATGCCTGACAACTATTTGGGAAAAGCTATAGATTATCTTCTTGGGAGTTGCATGGCATCCACTGATGTATTTAATTATAGACTCTAAGGAAGTCTACAGGAAAGAAATCTGTTCAGTGTTGTTTAACCCAGCATATCCAAAATTAATTCTATGCTCCTTTGCACAACATCCACCAATGTCCACTTTGGACAGTTCAGTTCATTCTATCTGCTATCTCTAGGTGTACCAAAATATGGCAGAAGGCATTGTGACTGGACAGAAGGTGGCAGAAACTTCACTCCAGACTAGACCTTTTCCTTAATTCCTTATTTTTCCTTATATGAAAGTGTAAATGGTTAAGAGTAAATTTAATATTAGTAAATTAGTTAATAAATTTAAATATTAGATAGCTATCTAAAGAACTAAAAGTTTTCTGATTAAACTGTATTAAAAATATGTTACAAAATCAGTTCAGTTATTTTTGCTATCAATAAAGAACAAAATCCTCAATTATAGATCTAAAGAAAAACTAAAATTTCATCCACTTAAAACTAAAAGTGGAGGCTGAAGAGATGACTCAATGGTTAAGAGCACTGGCTGTTCTTGTAGAAGACCCAAGTTCGAATCCCAGAACCCACATGACAGCTAACAACCATCCTTAACTCCAATTCCAGGGGATCTGACTTGTTCTTCTGACCTCGGGCATTGCACAACACAAATGTACTTACACACATGCAGGCAATACACTCATACATATAAAATGAAAATAAAAAATAAAAATAAATAAAACTAAAAGTGATTAATGTAAGTATGACTGGTCCAAGTACCAGGAAAAACAAGAAGTACATGATGGATCACTTCTTTAGAATGAAAAACAAATGATTAATAAAAAAATCACAGGGCTGGAGAGATGGCTCAGAGGTTAAAAACACTGGCTGTTCTTGCAGAAGACCCAGGTTCGAATCCAAGCACCCACATGGAAGCTAACAACTGTCTGTAACTCCAGTTCCAGGGGATCCGACAGCCTCTTCTGACCTCCACCGGCATTGCACAACACAGGTGCACTTACCTACATGCAGACAATACATGCATACACACAAAATAAAAAATAAATAAAATTTTAAAAAAATCACTGGCTAAAAGGATTTCAATAAAAACTTACAAAGCCTTCCAAAGTAAAACATAAAATGTTTTTATTTTTTCATTAATTACAGAGTAAGAGGAAACAAAGGTTAAAAAGCCTCAAAGTTTTTAATATTATCTAGCCATCCTAAAATTCTAGAATTCTCTGTTTAGGTCACAAATTAACAGTTTGATATTCATCTATCAATAATGTTTGGGGGGCTCACTTTGTACATCTGGCCCTATACTTCATCCCTCCCTGGTTACAAATGTCCATCACATGAATATCCTACTGTACAGTGCCTTGTTTCTATCTGTTTATCCCAAGGCAATTCTAAAAGTCAACAGTGTAATCTGATGGTCAGCTCAGGCACCTGAGCCAAGTCTCCCTCCCCAGCCAGCTGGCTATTTTTTCTCCACTAAACTCATACTGTCTAGACCCAACCCTGTACTGATTTCCTGTTTCTTATTTTCCATATTCTTCAAATTCCTACTAGTCAGGGTCTTTGAGAGAACGGCTATCTTTCTCTCCCTAATCCTACAATCCTTTCATTTTACATGAACCAGGAAAACAATACTGCCAAACCATCAGGACAGCTCTCCACAGCAAGCAGCAGCATCCCACCTCATTCCCACACCAGGGTGAGTCAGCTAAATCCAGGTTTGCTGACATACAGCTCCAACAGTTGGGTTGTAGTGATAATGAACCCAGACCCACCCCAGCTGTCAGCAGTTCTATTTTAAGGACCATAGACTTCACAAAATCACCAAAGTGTACCAGTAGTATCAGAAAGAGTTTATGGTTTGTAAGGTGTCTTTGCCCCTTTCACGGTGGAAGGGGTTATTTTATTA